ATTGAAATTATTTAATACACGAGTTTCACAATTTGAGTTGAATTACTGAAATAAATGAACTTTTCCATGACATTCTAATTTATTGAGATGCACCTGTAAGTGCTTTCATGTAGATGATTGAATGTGCACCATGTTTATGATTTTATTGCATATATGTGGCATGAAACCATTTACAGTGAGTTCATTCATACGTGATCATGACAGTCATAAATCCAGTTGTCAATGATAGCATAAATACCATAGTTGATGCATAGAAACTTTCTCTCTCAAACACAAACACACACACACACACACACACACACTGCATGATCAGATCTCCACTTTTATTTTTTGGAACAGTTGTCTGACAATCTTGGCTGTGGCAGTAACAGTGCCTTCTGACTCTTTCTCTCTTATGTGTCTCCAAAATAGTGCGCTGAGGGCTGGGTGGGGGGTGAGTCTCTCTATTTAAAACCTTGCTCTACCACAGTCAGGGTAATGTGACCCTCCCTGGCACAGTGCACCACTGACTCCCCATAGACCCACTCCAGCCTCAGCATACCGCTGCCCCTCAATCTATCTATAGTATCTATATTCTTTTCCTTCTCTAACTCAGTGTATACATTGTAAAGCATTTCTCGACTGTTTCTATTAGATATTAAGGAGATGGTGGGCTAATGAAGTCTTCTTCTTTTCAGATGTTTGTTTATAAAAAGACCCCAGTTATATCACATATGAGTTTCATAATCTCAATAATGTCTCAAATTACAGTCATATTTGTCAAAAGATGAGTCCGCCACATTCTTCCTGGACTATTATCAACATAGATATTATGTACATATTACATGTATAGCTCTATACGTCTAATGCATGCAACAGTTGTCTTCATTTGTGCAACTTTATTTTTCTCTTAAGCAATTTTAGGAGAAACATCTCAGAAAAAGCTGATACTTAACATAACTGAGAACTTCCTGAGCTATGAAATTAAACTAAATGTTCCTCTGAGAGTCCAACTCCTTTAAACCTATCTATTCATTATGCACTAAAAAATGAACAGCGAGGGGAGGTGGTGTGGTCGAAAGGGGGTTTTGCAAGACGTTAAACTGCAATGTGGTTGAAAGTGGATATGTACACAGACATGCCTTTGCGATATCAGGTCCCTGATCATCTTCACTTTTTCTTTATCTTGCTCTTTCTACTCTGAGGAGAACAGCTGAGTGTGCATGGCCTGCTATCTTGATCTGACCCACTTTTTTCATGATGCAGAACTCAGACCAAAAGTTGTTAAAATCACATCCTCCTCACTCATTAAAGCATTTAGCTCTCAGCCTGCACTCCACCTGGGTCACTTCTCTGTCCAGTCTGCACATTTCAAAAAGTATCTTCAGCTTGTCTTAGAGTCTTAGATTTGCTATTGCTTCGGGCAATTATTATTTTTGTGGATATGATAGTTCTTTGTAAATATATCACTTCTTTATGAGTACATTTAAAAATATTATGAGATGTTATATGATTGATGTCTATGTCTAAGCACATGATGACACATAACCTTTTCAAGCTTTAAAGGCTGAATCTGCTAAATGTGATGTATTACACTGTTAAAAATAAAGGTTCCAAAAAGTTTTTTTTTTCAAGTGATGCCATAGAAGAACCATTTTTCTTAGAGTGAAGAACATTTTAAAAATCTAACAAACTCCTTTCCACTTTACAGAATCTTTTGTGGAATGGAAAGGTTCCAAGAATATATGTTAAAGGTTCTTCATTCAACCATAAATGCCAATAATGAACCTTTATTTCTAAGAGTGTAGTAATGGGCTCTCTCAGACAACATAGCAAATTAAATTAGTTGATATGCTAATTGCTAAAATTCCACATGCATGTTCATGCAAGTAAAGCTGCTTGCACACAGATTCTGTTCTGAAAACAGCAGCACTTTAATGTTTATACCGAGCAAGTGGCTAAACTAAGATGATGTGCTGATTTAGCTCCAGTTAGATTTAAGCAGAGATCCTTAGAAGAGTCAAGTCCCCCCCTGCCCCCAGCCCCACTCCACTGTTACTGAAGATGACAACCTGATCCTCATCGACTGCAGCTCTTGCCATGTAAGGCTTGTAGGAGATTAAGACCATGCCAACCTAGGAGTCAAATGCTACTCAAAAGGGGACAGGGTCATTACAGGTGGCCACTGGTGAATACTGAGAATAGAAAACAGAGAAGAGAATGTAAAAGCAAATTTAAGTTTAATTGGTACATTAACGCCATTTTAAATCAGTAACTAAAAAAACCCCATAAAAAAACAGGTTTGTAAAAAATGTGATCAATTACGATCACAGAAAATAAAATGATTTCTAATAGTCAGCAACAGACACAATACGAATATTATCACAGTGTAATTGTGGAAGATTGCATTGATTATTGCCATTCACTTATAAATTCTTTTGTAGCGTTTACAAGACAAAGCATAAATATTGGTAAGAAACAAATGACCAATGATTAAAAGTGACCCACAAGATTCTATTACAGTTTTGATGAGCTCTCCTGGGTGGTTATTATCATTATGCTGTGCCTTTCCTGTCCCTGGGGTAAATCAACTCATATATGTGAAACATGGACTATACTTGTTAAATGAAAACATTATATTTAATTTTTCTTCCTGATGCAATGTTAAAAATCTGATACAAACAACATGTTCTTGACATATAACATGTCAATAAGCTGAAATGGCACAAAGTATCATACAAAAATAAGTTCATAATATGCACACGTTTGCATATCTGCATTATCAGCATAATTTTCATCAGGAAAACGTGGGCCGTTTAGAAGCAATACCTGAAACACAGTCAGAAGAGACATGATAGTTAACATAATACTGAAAGTATTTAGAAGTAACAACATTTTTTAAAATACTAAGATTTCTACAAACATACATTATCTATCTATCTATCTATCTATCTATCTATCTATCTATGGCTGTGGCCCTCCAGGAACTGTTTTATATATAAAGACTGTATGAGGATGTTATGTCTCCATCAATAACTGTATATTTATATGTAAATAAGGATCATTAAAATGTTACAGCCAAACCAACACCATAAACACTGTTACTAAGAGGGAACCTGAGAAACATAAGCTACACTTTGACGCTGCAAAGTGGGGTAAAGGCAGGGGAGAGTGGACAGGACACCACACCTTTGGAAGGAAGAGGAGGTGGACGTGTCTGCTTTACAACATCACTCTGAGACAGTGCCTCCACTATCCAGGAGAGGGCAGTAGAGCAATACTGCACCTGAGTAACAAGCAAACAGAAAGAGACATGGAGTGTCGGTCAAAAACCTGAGGTCCGCTTTAAAGCACAGGTTCATTAAAGGGGTCATATGATGTTGCTAAAAATAACATTATTTAGTTTTGCTTTCACAACGAAACACACTGCAGGCTAGAGTGAGCGGCGGCCGGCGGGCTTGAGAATGGCTTGCAGCAACCACATGTGACGACCCCGGGCTGGACTCCGCTTCGTCCACGGGGAAAGCCGATCCGGTGATCCACAGCGCAAAGTTGATGTATTCCCTCAGCGACCAGCATGGATCAGCGCTAGGCATGACGAAGCGGATATCGTCCTCTTTTGGAAGACCAAACAAAGTAGTTTCGCTTTCACAATGTTATGCAAATCTTCCCACATCGTGACCTAGACATGTGGGGGCGTTTAAACGAGGCGTTTTAGGTAGGCGTGGTTGACTCAACTTTTATAAAGAATATCTCTTTGGATTTGAGACTTTAGTCTTTGCAACTTTACAGATCTTCTTTATGCACCAAGCGCTTGTAACACTCCAAAGAGAAAGGAAAAATTGAAATCGCATATGACCCCTTTAATTACATTGATCGGCTGACAGCTTGGCAGATTCTCAAAGCGGATCTACATTCTAAGGGCTCATAGAGTGATAGGGAGAATGACGGATGGGCCTTGGTCTGCGCTGAGCAAGCAAACACAACAGCTGCAGCTAAAATAAGACAAGACTCATAGTCTTGCACCCACAGACGCATGCGTGCTCTCTGTGGGACGCTGCTGGGATTTAAAAACAGGTGTCAATGTGTTCGATGGCCACAGGTAGACAGGTGTGCATAGTCGTCACTAACCTCCAACTCCAGCTTTCTCAACCTACGATCGTGATCGCGAATCTCCGACATCTGCTTCAGGACGCTGTCCACCCTACACACACATGCATATGGACACAAATACACACATTCTGTCATTCAAGATGC